GGAGGGCTGCCGGGGGCATCTCGCAGGCTTCCCAGCAGGAGGAGCCCGGTTCTCTACGAAACAAGCAGCAGCAGGCGGGAGGCCGCTCGGTCCTAATCGCAGGAAGGGCGGGGAGGGGAATGGGAACTCTTTTGTTTATGTTGCCCTTAGCAGCCCTTGGAGTGATTGGGGCGCATGGCGGCGGCGGCAGCAGAAAGGAACGATCTCTTCGCGTATCTGACACGGCTCTCTTGAAGACAGAAACCGGGTCTGAGAGCTTTTGCCTGAAGCCTTAGCTGCGGGCTCAAGTCAAGAGCTTGGCCAAAGGCAGCATGACGGAGCTGCACGAAGCGGTGGCTTTGGGTAACTACGACTTAGCGGAAGAAATCCTCCAGAGGGAGCTCGCGGACCCAAATTGCAAAGATGCGGACTGGAGCGACCGGACGCCCCTCCACTGGGCGGCAGCAAACGGTAAGCCGTCGCCTGGGGGGACGCGCATTCGCCAGGAGGATACTGGGGGACGGGCGTAATGCGAGTGGCCGTGGAGGCAAGTTACAAGCGTTCGGGTTGCAGCTGGCATATATCCCCGGCCCTTCTCCGCGTCCTGATCGGAGCAAGCACGCAAGCCGCTCCGATCGGTGAGCAAACATAGATATTTCCCCGGTGTAACAGTAATCAAAAGCGGGGTAAAAGTTCGGCAAAAGCAGAGGTCGAGACAGTCAGGAGCAACAGGCAAGAAGGCTGCCTCCCTTTTAAGATTCTGGAATCGGTGCTGTGGCTGATTAGCATATGGAAGGTTATTAGCGAGGCCTTTGGCTATCCCAGTTTAGGTACCCAGTAGCATAATAAAATTGGAAGGAGCGGCGCCCGGCGATCCTTCCTTTGCTCTGCGTCAGTAAAGGAACAGTTTGACGGGGACGATCTATTAAACAGGCGGTGGGAAGAACGGAGGCAACGCAGAGCAACATTCAGCAGAAACTTTATTTAAAAATAAAGGGATGCTGCGGCTGCCGCAAGCTAACAGGGCAGCCGGCTGACAGGCAACAGCTGATGTCGTTTGACAGCTCCCTTTTATAGTCCGCTGTCAAACGGCATCAGCCAATAGGAGCGGTCCATGGAAATACGGACCTGAGTGAGAACTGCTCAGCAAAGTCTCAGAACGCAGTACTCTGTATGTATTCCACGTTGCACAAGGCAGAAGAATTAGAGCAGGAACTCCGCCGGAGCTGTCTTCCTTTTCACTCCCATTTTCACCACTGATCTTTCATGGATTGTCCAAATGAGGTACTGTTGTGTTCCTTACAAGTGCTTCCCCCGGCAGCGAGAAGGACAGAAACTGTCCTCCTATGAGAGGACATGGTCAGGAGCAGAACCTACATAGAAGAAGCGGCTGGATGGGGATCCTGTGTTCCAAGCATGTCCCGCTCACTCCCTGCCCATCTCCTGGCCTAAGTCCTCAATGGAAACGACCTTGGGATGCTGGGAATGGGTTCTTGCTTTGGTCTTCTTTTTAAAAATTGTTCTTAGCCACCCAGAATCGTGTTTTTGAGATAGACTGCCATCCAGATTAAAATAACATAACATAAAAGAATATTGACTTAATTGAAATTAAACTTTGTGAAGGGCAAAAGTGGTTTTGGTCTTAAAATTTACCTTTGATTTGAAAAACAAAATGTTACGCTATAGAGTGCTTAGCATACAGTGTTGGGCATAAAGCAGCGTAAAGGCGCTAACACATGAGAACGCCTCTGATGACAAGCACTAAGATTTGAACGCAAAATACACTGACTTGTGTGTGGGACGAAGGCGCAACTTGCCCTTTACAAGGAATTGTTAGGACAAAAGAGATGGCATTGATCTGTGGCATCCATCACATCTATGAATTTTTATACCGAGTCAGAAGGTATTTCCATAACAAGTTTGTGCTTCATTTATTTGCCATATAAACAGTGTGGCGAGTAATGGTCGAGTGATGGTCTTGGCCATCAGCAATTAAGTGTAGCTATAAGGCAACTGGGTTCATAGACTTAATAACAAATGCAAGGCATTAGCCAGATATTAAAAATACAGATTTTGGGGGAGGGAAGGTAGCCAATAGGGTATGTCAGTATGCTATCTCCTTACACATGTTCCCCTACTAAGAATCTGCATATTTTAGACACCTATTTAAATTTACGAAAAGAATATACCCATCAAAAATAACCTAGATATACATATTGATAAATAATACCTTCATTATGTTGTTCATGAAACCAGTAAATATAAAGATTTCAAAAGGAGGAATACATGTCAGCCCTCCAGAAGGACAATAAAACCCGGAGATCCTGGGATGTGAGTGTAGTGCCTGCAAAGGAGCTGTATTAATATGGAAATGGAATGCAGATTACTTTTTAATGTTTTTAAATTGTCTTTATAATGGTTGTTCTGTGGTTTGGGGGGAGTGTTGTTTTTTGTGTTCTTTTAACTTTGTACATCATTCAGATAAGTAAATAAATAAATTAGAATATGTGAACCATGAATGTCCAATATGGTGTTACAAGGTAATGCCAAGTGATATTTTACTTTATATACCATGCAATTATGGTATAAATCAAGGGTGTCAAACTCAAGGCCCGCAGGACGTATCCAGCCTGCTGAATGCTTAGATCTGGCCACAGGGCTGGCCTGGAAACAGCAGAGGACTAGCGCATGGTGTTGCAGGAAGCTGTTGAGGCCGAAAATGGGACATGGCTGAAAATGGGACATCCATTTTCGCTGGCAGAGGGCTATCAAAGCAAACTAAGCAAGGAAGGAACAATAAGGAAAGAGGGGAAGGAAGAAGAAAGGAGAGGGAAGGCAAAAGAAGGAAGGAAGGAAGGAAGGAAGGAAGGAAGGAAGGAAGGAAGGAAGGAAGGAAGGAAGGAAGGAAGGAAGGAAGGAAGGGGATGATAAGGAGAGTGAGGGAGGGTCTCAGGGAAGTCCTGCCTTAGCACTTGGCCACCACAAGTGCCCCCAACATGAGTCCCATGTCACTCCCACCATAGCCATCCCCACCCACAGCCATGCCCACCATGTCCATGTATCCCCAGCCTCACCCAGTACCCCCCGGCCCTCCGAGGTCAAACACACCCTGATGTGGCCTTCAATGAAACCGAGTTTGACACTACTGGTATAAATAGACATTTTGTAAAAAATGGAGTACCTGATATCCACCCAGATAATTCAGAAAAATTTCAGCCAATGCAGAATGTGAAAAAGTTCTCCAATTAATAATTTGAAGAGTCACAATAAGACCAAATTCTCAGAATTAAAAAACATAACAAAAACACTTCGCTAAACAAGAGATTCCAGAGGCTGGTCTTACTTCTCTGTTAATGGGAAAGTTTTGTTGTCATCCTTGTCATTCTAACCTTCTGTTTGCATTTGCAACAGGCCACACAAAGATAGTAAAGCTGCTTGTGGAACACGGTGCTCGCCTGGTTTTGCGAACGGAGGCAGGTTGGACTCCAGTTCATTTTGCTGCAGAATCAGGGCAACTGGGCGTGTTGAGAACACTGCACTCCTTGCACGCACCGATGGACGCCCCAGATCTCTATGGAGATGTCCCAAGAAGAATTGCAGAAATCTATGGGCACAAAGCCTGCGTCAAATTCTTAGAAATGTAAGCATGAAAAAGAATTAAGGCAGGTGACCTTGTACTATTCTTAATGCTAATTTGTGATCGAGCAAAGGGGCTTACTACAGTCCAGGGGAAAATTTTCTCAGTGCCATGGTAACTCGGAACAGTCATTAACCGAATGGTTGGAAGTGGAGGAGTACTTTTATGCCTTTTTATGTCATTTTCTTCCCACCCACCAAGCCCCCTCTTCCTCATGTTTGACACCTTCCTGTTTGATGCATCCTCTCCACATACTCTGTTCTACAAGGAACTCTGCACAGCTGTAAAATCCACAACTCTGTTCAAGGAAGTAAAATATAATCCAGTTGGATTGAGGATAGTAATCGTACTAGCAAATCTTTATAAGAGTGACTTGCCTCCTGCTTTCTCTTTGCCTAAATAAGCATTTGGTGAAGTTGCCTTCATTGGTGTTAAAACAATTTTTCTCTGTAAAGCTGAACTGCAGTCATACTAAAGCATCTATATGTATTTAAGGAATTTCCCCATATTTTGTTGCATTAATATCCTGTAGGCCCATGATGGCAAACCTATGGCATGCGTGCCACAGGTGGCACACACAGCCATTTGTGTCGGCACACGAGCCACAGACAAAGGTACCTCACTGCACGTGTACGTGCTTCACAGCTGATTTTCTGCTGGTTTGAGGCCTTTTTCAGCCTTCCAGGGGGCTTGAAAAAAGCCTCTGCAGGCCAAATAGGCCTGTTTCGTCACTTCCTGGAATTTCACGTGCATGCGCAGGGGGCATGAAGGGGCACGCATTGCCTTCTGGGTGCTTGCATGCGAGCACCAGCGCACACACAGTTTTTGGCACAGGAGACCAAAAAGGTTAGCCACCACTGCTCTAGACTTTGAGAAAGCAAAGCCAAAGCTGTTTTGCTTTTAATTAGTTTTAGAACTTAGGTCAACGTGGATGCAATATCCCCCAGCTTTCCAAATGGAAATACTCCCTTTCAAGTCGTGATCCGCCATTGATAGCAGCTTATCCAAAACCGTTTCCTCTTTCCTTTTGATCTAGAGCTGAAATGGAAAACAGGGCATATTGCCAGACGGCAAAATCAAAGGGAATCCAACTGGATGAGAAGGATGAAGCTTGGGAGCTTAAGAAGGAAGAACTTTTGAAAAATAAACCCTTCTCTCCAAAGAAATGTATGAAGCACAAAATGCACGGAAAGGGTGGAGTGAAAGTTCCTTCTAGAAAACAGTGAGAAGAATGGTATATTACAGATAAGGTAGAACAGAGGGTCACGGCTACCTTAACTTTGTAGTCATTGCAACTCATCTATTTCATTTACTATTTTTCTTATTTTGAACTACTTCAGGAGTGTCAAACTCATGTCATCACAGCAGCGTCATGTGACATATCAGGCATGGGCGTAGCCAGGATGTGACACATCCAGCCTGCGGGCCAGGAGTTTGACAGTGCTGAACTAGTCACCATCTCAGTTTAAGAAATTTTTTAATACATGCATGAAAAATACTATTTTTATATACATTTTGCCTGATAAACTAATTTTGTGCACTTTTGTATAATATATTGATATTTTTAAGCTTTTCTCTAATTTAATAAAGGTTTGTGCTTTATGTATATCTTTTCTGTAATACTCTCTTAATATTTTTATTAACATTAGGGGGAATATTAATATTCATTATTTTTATTTTATTAGGTATTTTGCCATGTTTTAATTGGAAGATGCTGCCACAATAACCAAAGTGTGAATCAAAGTTGCACTAAATGCAGATGAAAATTCTTTTTCATACACTTTATAATGTATGTATGTGTATGTGTGTGTGTACGTATGTGTATATATATATATATATACATATGTGTGTATAAAATGTGTATTCATTGTTAACAAATTGTCTGAAGATAAACATGAGAAAATGCATAGTTGGGATATTGTACTTTAACAACATGCTAGGTTAGGATTTCAAAATATTTAAATTAGGAATATTAGATTATTTCAATAACATATTCTCTATTTTTTAGTATATAGGATACCTTACAGTGAAGATAGCAAGGGCTGGGTTACTGCATGTTGGAAATTAATACTTCAGAAGGATGATAGGTCTGCTCTGTGTTGATGTCATATTGCTTTAACACTTACCGCCTTATAAACAAGGTGCTTGGGTAAGAAATAAGGGTCCATTCATAATAAGGTAAAGTTTAATTATATCCAGGGGTGGGATTCAACTGGTGTTACTACCGGTTTGGTGATTATGTTTTGTGCAACAAAATTAATGAATTCTGTGATCATCAGAAATGAGTACGCCTCCACAGAGAAAACAAAGGGGAAAAAAGTGTGATAGATGCTTTAACTATAAAGGTTGTCACCGACTGTTGCAGAATAGATAGAAATTGAACAGGCTTACACATCAGCAGGATTTTGCTCAACTCAGTTTGGCATCCATCACACTCATTTCTCCCATTTCTCTCTCCATCTAGTGAAATGCATCAAATAAAGGAATTGCTGAACCAAAGTTACCTAGTAGATTTCAGCTGAGGTCTTTCCAATTCCATTCCAACAGCTCATCCAAAACCTAGAAATATTCACCCACTTGTGGGTTAACAATTAAGTAAGAATTGCCACTTCATAACATTCTTCTGGCATTCACTGACTATTGATTTAATTGCTTTTTCTTTTCATTACTAAATGAAACAGAGAATAAACTTTATTTTAAGAGAAGTTGCCTCAAGTGAACATCAGCTTTGGATGACTGTTCATTTCTCCCTTCTTGCTTTTGTAAACTCAACCAAATCTTCATTATCAATCCTGATCCTACATTTCAACATGATTCTTCTGAGCTTGAGTTTGATTTGGTGTCTCTGATTAGATCAGATAGAGGGGATATATATTGGGTAGATTGCTTACACGTAGAGTTGTAAAAGAAATCCACCATGAGTCTGTGGATAGTAACTGGTTATTTTGCTCTCACCAAAGATATGGTCTGCTAACCATGAGCATCCAGGTTGCATTTAGTTTCTTCTTACGAATGTGAATGGCCAAGATTAAAGGTAAATTACGCAATACAGAAGGTCATCAAATGAGTTCTACATATCATGGAACTCTGCATCCAGTTTGATCAATATGATACAAAAAATGGTGTTGAGATTCTAAAAGAGTGAAGAGAACAGCAACAAAGATGATTATAGGACTGGAAGTTAAATCATACGATGACCAGTTGCAGGAATTTGGTATTTCTAATCTAATGAAGAGAAACACTAGAGGTGATATGATATCAGTCTTTTAATATTTGAAAGGCTGTCACAGAGATTAAGGGATTGACTTATTATCCAAAGCACCTGAGGGCAAGACAAGATGTAATGGATGAAAGCTTAACAAAGAGAGATCCAGCCTAAAACTAAGGAGTTGTTTGACAGTGGGAACAATTAAACAGTGGAATAGAATAGAATAGAATAGAATTCTTTATTGGCCAAGTGTGGTTGGATACCCAAGGAATATGTCTTGGTGCAAATGATTTCAGTGTACATAAAAGATATATTTGTCAAGAGTCAAGAATCATCAGGTACCACACTTAATAATTGTCATAGGGTACAATAATCAAATCATACTACGAAATAGTCAATATAGATCACAAGGATACAAGTGACAAAGTTACAGTCATACAGTCACAAGTGGGAGGGGATGGGTGATAAGGAGTGATGAGAAGATTAACAGTAATAGTAATGCAGACTTTGTAAATAGTTGGACAGTGTTGAGGGAATTATTTGTTTAGCAGAGTGATGACGTTCGGGGAAAAACTGTCCTTGTGTCTGGTTGTTCTGGTGTGCAATGCTTTATAGCATCGTTTTGAGGGTAGGAGTTAAAACAGTTTATGTCCGGGATGTGAGGGGTCTGTAAATATTTTCACAGCCCTCTGTTTGACTTGACAGGTTGCTTCTAGAATTTGTGGGTGCTCTCTCACTGCTTATAAAGAAGAGATTTTATTTATTTTATTTGTTTGTCAAACATGTACAAGATAACAAATATAAGTATGAACAAGAACAAAGGAAGTAAATACACATAAAGACAGGACAGTATGACAGGGACAGTAGGCATGCTGGTGCGCTTATGCAAGCCCCCTTTAAAGACCTCTTAAGAATGGGGTGAGGTCCATGGTAGAAAGTTCAAAGTTGAAGTTGTGAGGGGTTGAGGCTGTAACAACGGAGTCGGGTAGGGCATTCCAGGCATTGACCACTCAGTTGCTGAAGTCGTATTTTCTGCAATGGAGTTTGGAGTGGTTTGGATAGTCATTTGTCCAGAATTGTATAGGGTCTCTTGCTTGAGAAGAGGGTTGAACTAGAAAACCTCCAAGGTCTCTTCCATCTGTTTTTCCATATTCTATTTCTCCTGTGCTACCAGGAAAGCTGTTGTGATTTGGCATAATAACATAGTCAAGCCAAAACTTTGCAATGTCTTTTTTTAAAAAACGTGTCAACTTTAAGATGCGTGGACTTCATGTCCTAGAATCTTAATTGGGAATTCTGGGACTTGAAGACCACACATCCTAAGATTGTCAAGTCTCAGGAAAGCTGCTCTGTTGATAAAAGAACCATATCACATGGCTGACTCATATTCAATTTTAATTAATGACTGTCTCAATAACTTTTTACACATTCTTGCCATGCCAGATAAGTTTCATTCTATATCCATTCTATATCCATATCATTCTATAATCATTTGAATTCTGTTTCCTGCTTGTATACAATATATTTGCTTTAATCATTGTTCAATTTATCATAATTGTCTAACCTATCAAGATTGTTTTGAATCTTATTTTTGTCTTCGGGGGATATAGGGAATAGTATCCTATCTGTTTTGTGTCATCAACAAGACTGATAAATCTTCTCATGCATCATTAATGTTGAAAAATGCAAGTCTATGGAGATTCTCACTCATCCAGGTCCTGGTTGTCTCCAAGGTGCTTTTCAAAAGGCAACTGGACTTTCTTGGGTCTTTTTTTTTTCCCTTGAAAGCATTTCACTTCTCATCCAAGAAACTTTTTCAGAGAACTGAATTGAAGAAGCTCCTTGGATGAAAAGTGACATGTTTTTAAGGAAAAAACCCAAGAAGGTCCAGTCGCCTTTTGGAAAAGCACCTTTGGGAGTGTGAGATTAAAACGAAATTCAATATTCCTCTCCAATTTGTTGAAGAATCATTGATAAACCTAGCTTTTAGGACAGTTTAATGGTCATTTGAATCCAGCTCATAGTTAACTTCTTTTTTTAACCAAGAATGTCACTGGATACTTTGTCAAATAAAATACAGTATATTATGACTGCAACATTCCTTCAATCTATGAAGTAAGTTATCTGGTCAAAATATGGGATAGTTAATCTGGAAAGATATGTTCACTTCTGGTAATTGTTATATAATTTTCAATATGGCTGCCTTTATGATCTGTTCTGGAATTGCCACAAATATAGCTATTAGACTGAATGGCTTATAGTTCCCTAGTTCTTATTTCCTTCTCTTTTGAAAGATAGGGATATTTGCCTATTCCATTCATTTGGCCCTTCGTCAATTCTCTAGGAGTTCCCAGAGATAATGTATAAAGACCACTTTCTCATTTATTAATACTTCAATAGTTCCATATACCTGGATCTTCTTATACTGTATATTTCATTGCCAAAATGAAACAATTTAGGTGAAACTTGGCTCAATAGCAGTAACTGCAATTGGAATCCTAGTGGACAAGTACTTCAATGTGAGCCACCTGTGTGCTGCAGCCACAAAAAGAACCAATGAAATCCTCAACTGGATTAACAGAGTGATAGAATCAAAATCAATGAAGTGTTAGTAGGAGTTATAAGGACTTGATAAGACCACACTTGGAATACTGCGTCCAGTTTTGGTCACCACAATATAAAAAAGTTGTTGAGACTCTGGAAAGAGTGCAGAGAAGAGCAACAAAGATGAATAGGGGACTGGAGGCTAAAACATATGAAGAATGATTGCAGGAATTGGGTATGTCTATTCAACTGAAAAGAAGGACTAGGGGCAACATAACTGCAGTGTTCTAATAATTGAGGGGCTGTCACAAAGAAGAGGGGGCCAATCTATTTTCCAAAGCACCATAAGGCAAGACAATAAGCAATGGTTGGAAACTAACTAAGAGAAGCAACCCAGAATTAAGGAGAAATTTCCTGACAGAACAATAAACCAGTGGAATATCTTGCCTTCAGAAGTTGTGGGTTAGTTGCTCCATCACTGCAGACTTAAAAGGAGACTGGAGAGCCATTTGTCTGAAATGATATAGGGTCACCTGCTTGAGCAGGGTGTTGGACTAGGAGATCTCTGAGGTCCCTTCCAAAGTCCCCATTATTCTGTTAAATGAACAAACCCTAATCAAGGAACTACCAAACAATCTAACAGTAAAGAAGAGCCTAGTCAAGAAACCACCCAAAACATTTCCACCACCAACAGAACAAGCCAGGAGTATATAAAAAGAGAGAAAACCCCACTGCCTCCTAGCATTGATTAGGTCACCTAACTTGGTAATGAAAGGTCTGCAAGAAAAAGCACCAAGTTCAGAGAACACCAAGGCTCCCACAGTTCAACCCTGTGCTACAAATATCTCTTCTTTCAATTTCAGAATTCCCAGGTAGAGGTATTTATAGAGAAAGCGAATCTTTGTATAAATGTGTTTTGAAGTATTTATTTCCTACAATTGTACAACTATGAGATAGAGATGCCTCATCAAAATCTTTCAAGTTATCTTTAGATATATGTGTGCATGTAGGTATCCTCTGTGTTCTTAAAGCCCCAAATCCTAAAGGGTTTGTCTGGTTCCCCATTCTTTCAGAGGAATGCCCTTTGTGAGTTTCAGCCTGGCTCTTACAGTAACTGACTGACATGTTCATGGGCTCTTCGTTAATTATTCTGTCTTATCCATTGTTCCTCTGAGCTATTGACAAGTTACATTTTATTGATTCAAGAAGTTGACAGGGAGTGTATAAATAAAATAATTGTTTAAACTGATTTTCTTCTCAAGAGTAAAAACAGGAAACAATAAGATGAATTAAATATTGACCTACAGCTGCTTAATTCTTAAAGATTTTCTCTGACACTGCATAAAAAGGCCGGAAATTTACATGTTATTTATGCCACCCCATCAATCATTCACAGGCACTCCAAAATGTCTTCACCTCGGCTCCTGTGCCTGGCAGCACTCCTGACTGTCTCTTCCACCTTTACGGTATGATACTTTCCTAGATGTTTCTAGATTTGATACAACACTAATTTATTTTCTTTGCTTCAGTTTCTAAAATTGTCCAATTGCCATTGCAGATCAGGAGGACAGCAGAACATGAAGGTAAATCAAAACAAACTCAAAATGAAATCAGTATCTTTTTCTAAGATGGGAAGCATATAATCTGAAGTAATTATCTGTAAAGAAGTACATATTTGATACTAATGTATGTATTCATTTATTCATCCCGAAGGGTACTCCTTAGATGAAGGGAAACCTAGGCAAGGCATCCCTGAAATCAATGCAGGTAAGCAAATCCACTGGAGAGAAATATTGTATTGTATATTCATGAATATAAATTGAAAAAAGATATTTACTTGGGATCCACTGATATCAATAGAAAAGAGTAGGGCTACAGAACATCAAAACAAAGAACTAATCAAGATAGCATGTTGGCTTCAGGCATTCTTGATGGTGAGGTCTGGAAAGATTATCTGGTTTGATTGGAAGCTTTGAGTACTACAGCACTGAATCTGAGTAAGTTCCACTACTGCCAAAAAAATAAAATAAAATAGAAGCAGTATAAGAGAATGAGAATATTGGAAATGTTTAGTTTGGAGAAGAAAACTTTGAAAGACCTATGATTGAATTATTCAAGTTTATGAAGGGATGTCACATAGATGAAGACCTGATTTGTTCTTTGAGGACAATTTTGGAGAAACAAAAAAACCTTGGCTTGCTTCTTTTATTTCTTCTCTCCCTTCTCCACTGATCATATCTCCCTCATAATCACAATTATTTCACTTCATACCCACTAAGGTAGTAGGTATGAAGGAAAATAAGGACTGTTTAGAATAAAGGACCTACATCGGTGTATATCTAATGACATCCAATATATACTATTCATTCTGTTGTGTCCAGTAAAAAAAAATGTTCAAGCTAAATGTGCATAACAATGCAGCAAAAATCCAGACTGACTCCCAGACCTTGATATGGACA